CTTTTTCGTCAAGATACAATGCACAGGGCTGCTTTCTGGCACCATACTAGCGACAGTGGGGGCTTCTGCCAGCCTCTAAATATGACAGGAAGGAATAGGATTGGGATGAATTTCCTGCCATCTCTCGATTGTTTAAAGGCAAATCAGACTTGACACATGGCCAAAGAAATGCCTCTAGCCTGGTAACTCTGCTGCAGGCTGATAGGGAGGACCCAGGAACCGGGGGCACAATGAAACATTTAGATTCTGGTTTCAGTCTTTGCAGGTTCATTAGATCAGACAGCGAGGTGTCCTTCAGATGTATCAGTGATGAAAGGATTGCCTCAGAAACAGATGAGAAGAATGGCTGCCAGAGCGCCCTCTGCCCTGTCATCCTCACCTCTTCTCTGTCCCTCTCTTATTCACTTCTCTATCTTATCCATTGGTCTACCTCTTTCAATGCATTTTACTTCACTGTGTCTCTTTCTGGCAGCGGAATCTGACAGCCTCTTGTGTAATAGAAGATGACAGGGAAGGCATGGAGGAAGGCTGGAGAAAGAAAAACAGCAGTTGTAAATGACAAACAGAGAAAGGCGGGGGGGGGGGAGGGGGGGGAGGAACAAACACTGAGACAGAGAGAAGGAGAAACACAGTGATTCACAGAGAGAGAGTAAAACCAAGGAAGAGAAACATGGTGACATTTTTCATGGTAGAATATGGGGCCTGTTGGGGCTGTTAATCCACAGCACGGAGCTGAGACATATTCATGGAGGCTACAAGGAGGCTAGTGTGTGTGTGTGTGTGTGTGTGTGTGTGAGGACGAGTGCTGATGAAACCGAAGCAAACATGACAGTTGTATTTCATCTTTCCTCTGAAGGACGACAGCTGCTGAACCTAACAGCCCGACCAAATGCCAACAAACGTGTCTATTTTTACTTTTATTTTCTGTTGGCAAGAAAGCTGAAGTCAGCAGGGATCCCAGTGTTATCTTAACGTGATTCACAGCTGCTCTAATAGTCCTCCACTATACATCTCAGTTTGTCCTACATTAGCGATACACAGTGTCACACTAATACTGGCATTTGACAGTGTTGATGTTAAGCATAAGGATCATATAGCTGGTGGGGGTGGGGGGGTGGGGGGGTACTTTAAGTCGATAGCCTGTAAGACTTTTTGCAGCTTTAGTAACATGAGATATTTATGGGAAACCATGGAAAACATTTTTATGTGAGATTAATGGAAAATGATGAAGATTAGGGGCCGTATTTTCACCATCACTGTGAGTAGCGCTGTAACGGTTTGGTATTTTCCTGACCTCGGCCTCATGTAGTATTTGATGCCCAACGCAGAGTGCATGATGGACATGTGGGAGGACAGGAACAAACAGGTGGGAGGTTCATATAAATGAAGCGGCACAAAGTGAGTTGTTGATAGTTTGGTGGAAAATGTGTCTCAGACTTTGTGCTGAGTATATGGCCCAACCCCAATACCCCCCCTTGTCCACTACACCTTAGCCCTTGCCCCCTACCCCTAGCCCTTGCCCACTACACCTTAGCCCTTGCCCCCTACCCCTAGCCCTTGCCCACTACCCCCTAGCCCTTGCTCCCTACCCCTTAGCCCTTGGCCACTACCTCTTAGCCCTTGGCCCTACCCCTTAGCCCTTGGCCCTACCCCTTAGCCCTTGG